GACAGAAATCCGGAACATAGTCATTAGAACCACTAATCACCGTCTGATCACAGTCTCCATCTGAGCGTGGGTAACCATCTAAACATAGTCACCAACTATACCTGTGATAAATTTTCCTCCCTGCTCACGGGTGAAGACTAGGTCAGGGTAAGACAGTGGTAACTCGAAAATCACGGGTCCGCCTGATAGTGCTATGGGCTTACCCATAGACGTGGGTGCCGATAGTAATTCATTTGAACCTCATTCGAGCGTGGTATATGACATGACTGCACTAATCGGACCACGTCCTATAGCCGTCATGCCCCTACTCTATTCCTAGGTGTCCTAGTGCACTCTGGCCTGGGTACTGGGCCTTTTACCTTAATAGTAGCATTCCCGCCCAAACAAGAAGCAGATCCAGCATAATAGATAACCAATAGGGAAAGCAATAAAATGCAATGCAAACTTATTTCTAGTAATTTAAATGCAAAAAATAAATAAAAATGTTAGAAAAGATGTTTTAAAGTCCTAAAAATTCTAGGTATTAAAAGATACTTAAAAAAAACCTAATGTTGATTTTATATGCTAATAATAATTAAAAAAAACCTAATGTCGAATTTTTAATTACAAATTAATTAATTTAATTGCAAAAACCTAATTCTAAATTAATTAAATTAATTGATAAGAAAAAGAAAAATAAAAGAGTTAATTAAAATAATTAAAATGAAAATTAGTCAAAATAAAAGAGGATTGAAATAATGTAAAAGTAAAATGCATGGGTGGGACTTGAACCCACGCCCTTTGAATCAACAACGTGCCTCCTTTGCCATCTGATATACTTATGTTGCGTGTTAATGATTCAGGAATCAATCAAAATATAAATAATTCAAATGAATATTCGTGAATGAAAAAAAAAAGAATTGCAAAAGGCTGGGATCGAACCCACGCCTTCTGCATCACAACCTTCAACCCTTACCACTACACCCTTGTTTGTTTCGCGTTTATAAACCAACCATTAAATCATATAAGATAAACTCAGACTTAAAAATCAAAATTCAAAATGAAACAATCCGCGCCTGCGTGTGTGGGCCTAGAATTTTTAAACGGGATAATCACAACCTCTCCCTCTACCATGCTAACCCTTGACCGAGTTAGTGCCGCCGCACGCGTGGGCTCCCTCCTTCTTCTCTGGCATCTTGTTTTTCAACCTGAAAAAAATACGTGCAAACAAACGATAAGAGGGATCCTACCCTACAAAAAAGACCCTCAGGAATTCAATGGTGCATTCAGAATTGACTGAAAGTGGATATTTGATGAGTTTCTAAGCTTGGCCATTTATAACCCTAACAATGGTGGAATGTTATCCTGACGTGGAAACTTCTATGTAAACGGCCAAACCTGTTCTAAATGAGTACCTGAGATGATTCGGGGACACACAAACAGTTAAATATGCATAGTTTATGAAATTCAAATTCAAAAAAACTCACCAAACGCTTTGCTTGGTATGCACAACCTAGGCATGATTTCACTTATTTTTGGACTTGGTGATGCTTCTGAGGATCTCAGGAAGGAGATTAGATCCTTTTTTGGGCTCGAAACAAGCAGGAATTTGGAATACAATTTTTGCACTTTCCTTTGAATTTTATGAATTAACCTTAGTTCTCGTGGCTACCAATTTGTGTCCTGAGCATCTGATGTTCTTGAGTATTTATATAGGGGATGACATTAGGTCAAACAAATGAGAAAAAGATCACGTGATCAATGCATTACCAAAACCAAATGAACATGTTTTCAAACTTTCCAATTTGAAAATATTATATTCCAATATTTCATCCCACGGTTTTGCATGGTTGGGAAGGAGTTATTGGGCCTCAAATCTGATCCAAAAACAAGCCCGTATGCCTTAACCCATTACTTTGTTATTTTATTTAATTTATTTTGTATTTAATTGAATAAAAATCAACATAAATATAAATGAAAAATCATGGTAAGTTATGAATGAGATTAGGAGTCCTCTATAAGGTTATGAACATGTTTAGACCTTAGAAGATAGGTCCACTAGTCCAACATTTCAAAATTGCTCAACTTGCACCAATCATATCTCGCTCAATTTTCATCATATGAAGGTGATCTTGTAATTTTTGCAAAGCTCAAGATGTTCCCTAAAACTTTCATTATGACCATTTTTTAATTTGAAGTCTTTATCTTGATGTAAATTGCTTTGACAAAAGATGACTTTTTTTTACTTTCAAAATGACCTGTAATGTTTTGGCCCATATCTCTCAAATGAAGCATTTTTAGACTTGAGCTTAAAGAGACAAAGTTATAGATAATTGAATTTCCTTCAAGATAGACTTTGGTTGAGAATTTTCTGATGAAGTGTGTGAAAGTTATGCTTGGTCAAAGTTCAGTTGACTTCTTCTAAAGAAAACCCTAATTTAGTAACTTTTGACTTTTGATGAATCTTGAGTTTTCTTGATGAATCATGATCAACCCTTGATCAAATAATGAATGTGAGTTCAAAATATTGATGTTGACCAAAAATCTTGAAGTTTGATTGTATGTTAACCACAATTGACTTTTTGTCCAATACAGTTGTGTGATACGGTGGCAGAACCAGACTGTTTTAGGAAAATGCTGGTTTGCGTTTTGCGTTTGTGTTCGCAAAATGTCGCGGTAAGCAAGAGTCGCCACCGACTTTTATTTTATCTAACTGGAAAGGAAAAAAGCACAGAAAAATTCCTTTTTCGAGATATTCTGAGTACGGGGGGTAGATTATAGAAAGGGAAGGTATTAGCACCCTTTCTATCCGTGGTTTTCCACGGGCTCTTAGGTACTTGCTTGAAACAACCGGCTGAAAATCATCAAAACAATAAAGTCGCCATCAAACGTCTTTTATCCCACATGTAGGGAACGGTAAACATCGAGAAAACCTGAGAAGGGAGAAGTCACGGTCTTGCGACCGAGAGATAAGGGTAAGGGAGTCTGTTACGCGAAGGGAAGGTATTAGCACCCCACACACTCGTAGTACTCTATGGTATCCACTCTTGTTATCTGTCTTATGGGTGTGTCTAATCTCTTCTTACTATTTACTATACTACTGGGGGGAGAATGCATGCAAAAGAAATGATAAAAGAATGTAGGGAAAATAAAAGTGTGCTCGTTCGGGCCCTGCCCTGATGCCTACGTATCCCTTTTAAAGAATCAGAGCAGCCGTAGTTTGGCTTATATGTTTTGTTGGTTTTGTATTTTTTAATGAACAATATTAATTTTGCCTTCTGCCGCAACTCGACCTTTGGGGACTTACGCGTCAGCACAGAAGTGAACTAACATATTCTTTCTGAAAAGGTTTGGAGAAAATGTGCCTGGGCGCACAAATTTTTTGAATTTGTTTGTGTTTGTAGCGAATGATATTAATTTCGCCTTCTGCCGCAACTCGGCCTTTGGAGACTTACGCGTCAGCACAGAAGTGAATTAATACGCTCTTTTGAAAAGAGTTTGAAAGAAAGGCCCGAAGGCAAAAAGAGTTTGTATTGGTTGGTATTTTTGCTTGTAGATAATAGCTAGTTAATCTCAAGAGAGAGATTTTAGTCATTTCTCTACTTATTTATGAAATGATTCTTTGAGACTTGAACCACACCTAGACTTAAGATGAAGAACAATAAGATCGAGAAGAGACCCGCTTATCATTTCCTGTACTAAGCAAAGTCGTGATTCTTATCAGTAGTTTTAAAGTTTTTGAAGTTTGAAGGAAAAGAATTTTTAGTTTTAAATGCATATGCAAAAAGGGAAGAAAAGTAGAAAGGAGGCTAGCTTATTTCTAAACCTAATGTTATCATGCAATGGTGGTCCTAAGTTTTGGGTGAATGAAAGGGAAATGTCTACCTAATGTTAGCATGCATATGGTTTGCAGTAAAGCCCTATTTCTCATGATTTCTAGAAAGCGATAAAGAAACGTGATAAAGTGCGGAAATGAGGGATAAATTGAGGTTGTGATAATATCGAACGGAGAAGGTCCGTTGCCTCTTTGAAAACATGCAAGCGATAAGGAAACTCTACCAAAAGTTGCTCAGACGAATAAAAGTTTGTAGCACCGAGAGTAAAGCAGAAAAACCCGAAAAACTTCGAGTAAGCTTCACCAAGCAACATAGAAGGGTCGAAAATCAATTGCTCGGAATAAATGTTGAAGCATCATCGATGTGAAAATGAATCATAATCGAAATCTTAAGCGTATCCACATATCACGCAATAAACCTGCATAAGACTCAAATCTCAACAAGCAAAGGTGAATTACAAAATCTCAAGTAATCGGATAATCGTGATTTAATTCCTAAAATCAAACATAAAAAATTTAACAAATTTTTATTGATCTTATCATTTTTAATCATGTGAAGAAGAAGTTCAAACTAATCAAACAATTATCAAAATTATTCAAAAGAAAATTGCAAAATAACACAAAAAAAACAAGCTCAAGGGGTGCAAGCTAGAATCCATGTGGTGTGATATGGAAAACATGCACTAGGCCCAAACTACTTGAATCCAATAGCATAGTAATGGTTTGCTTAAAAAAAAACGCAGGCCCAAGAGAGTGGGTGTAATCCGACCCACACCAATCAACAACACCAACATATATCTTTAGCATACTTGTTTTGTTATATAGTTTTGGACTCTTATTCAATAAAAATTAAAAATAAATAATTAAACAAATCAACATAGACTGAAGAGGATTAGGGTTCAAAAAATAGGGGGCGTCCCTTCAACTTCACACAAAGCAAGTTCTCCCTCTTCTCTTATCGACACAGTGCTGCGGAGATTATCCCTCTCTAGGGAGAACGACGATCACTTCCTTTCTTTTTCGATTCGCATTCGGTTTGCTCCGCCTCCAATCACTCGTCCCCACTCCGGCTTCAATATCTTCATTAGCGATCTTCGTTCGCTTCGAATTCCATTTGCCACCATAATAATCAGTGACTTGTAGACATCAAAGACACTAGCAAAATCCTCAAGGTTTGATTTCATTTCTACTTCATCTCTCTACTTCTCAAACGCCTTCCCCCGCCATGAACAACATTATCGCCGCCTCTCACCGCCGTCTGCTTATTAATCACCTCTGTTTCGTTCTCAATTCCATCAATCTCTGGTTGGAATTCGCCTGAAGCATCTTCAACGGTGACGATAGTAATAACAATATGATTCAACCCTCTCTGATTCGAACTTTTTTTTGTTTCCTTTTTCGTTCCTGAGTTGTGCTGATTCGTGCAATGTTGTTGATTTGTGTAGAGAAATCGATGCGTTGATGATGAGTGTGACCTTTTTATTGATGACATAGAGGAGTATTAATGATGTGATGTTGATGAAGAACCCTGCATAAGCTGTTATGAGAATGATGATGCTTGAAGGCTCCAAGAAGATGTCAAGATGGTGAAGAATTTGTGGAGGAATTGCAAAGAGAGAGATTAAAAAGGTGAGTATTCTGAAATTTTTCTACCACTTTTCTGGTATGTTGAATGAATTATGGAACTAAATAACGATATCCCTCCTCTTTCTTTTTTTCTGTTAGCCCTCTGTTATATGTTAATGATTGAATCGGTTATAGAGCAGAGATGATGATTGTGTAGGGAGAATTTGAAGTTGCAAAGAAGAGTAAGAACTGTAAAGAAATTTCAGAAGATGATGAAGTAATATTGATGATTATGCGATTTCAGAGAAATTGAAAGGTGAGTTTTTGAATAATAAATCATGAATCTGAAACTGAATGATGATCTCTCCCAATCTGAAAACTGAAATTCTGTTATATAGATTGCTGAGAGTTGGTTAGGAGTTAGTAAATCTGTTAGAAAGCAGTTAGAAAAGTTTATTTAGAGTTATGGATTTTCTGTTAGAAATTGGTTATGACAGTTAGGAGTTTGTTATAGACAGTTAGGAAATTTTGTTGAAGTTTTTTAGAAGCAGTTAGAACAGAGCTAGAAGTTTGTTAGCAATTAGTTATAACAGTTGGGATTTGGTTAGTTAGGAATTCTGCTTTTTTCTTTTGAGGAATTAGTAAGATGTTGGTTATCGGATATTGGTTTTTTCTATTGGATTCATTTGAACTGGATTCAAGAACTTGTGGTGTAAACAATTAGCTTGCTAACTGCATAACTGTTTTCCTGTTTTCTTTACCTTGAGATTCATTTCCTGATTCTTTTTGGTTTATTGAATTTTACATGGCTGCACATTTATTGATAAAAGTTTCTGAACTGGTTTTTGGTCTGATTTTTCTGCAGGGTTGTTATGAAAAATTTGGTTTGACAGTTTATTAGTTGTGCAAAGTGAGGAAGTTAAAAGTTAGTTATAGGTTGGTTTTGATTGTTAACAGTCAGGAAATTTTGTTATGATTTGATTGGTTAAATGCTGCGAATTTAGAAATTATGTTTGCAGGGAGGTGATGAGGGAGATTTGTTGATCGTCGAAGCTTGAAGGTTGGGTGTTGGAGAAGTCTGTGATGAAGATTGCAGAAAATTGATTATGGATTGAAGAGAAATTGAACTCAGTTATCGTGATAGAGAGTTGAAGGAAGATGAAGGTTCAAAGGAAATTTTTTTTAGAGAATAACTTAGAGGTGAGTTTTTTCTGTTTAAGCTTTTTTCGGTATGAATCGTGTAGAATGAATTGTCTCTATTGAATTTTCTCTCTGAATTTCTGTTATATGTGAAATGAATCTTGGTGAATGATTAGTGAAATGAATCCTGAAAATCCTCTCTCCTACTTCTGTTATGTAGCCTGAAAAAGTTTGTTAGAGATTGAAGTGATCTCATCCCTTGATCTGATCAGTTAGTTACAAACTTGAATGGTGAGATTGATTTAGTTGAGAAACAGCTTGAGGAGCTTGAAATCTGTTATTCTGACCTGTCACTTTTCTGACTTCTTTTATCTGTTATTTCAGTCATTGATGGATGCAGGTAATATTGGTAACTAGCGGCATACCAGACAAGAAGAATCTACCCATTTTGAAATACAGGAACAATGCAAATAATGATTGCATATGGTTGTAAGAATCCCACTTGTGACTTGATCTAATCGCTCAAGGCAAACTGGAAATGTTGGCTGTTCGGTTGAAGGGGCATGAAGATTGAAGAATATATGAAGATTGTGAACTTTGGCATGGCATCGACTTGGAAGTTTACTCATGGAATTTTAGCACCTTTAGGACTAAGGAATTTTGTTCAAGTTCATTTTGTAATAGTTTTTTCTTTGTGGATTATTGGTGCAATGTGATTGTAATGATTTTATAATGAATGTTTGGTTTGGATAAACTTGAAATTTATAGTGTGAATTATAAACGACTTCGAGCTTGTAATTCACTTCAAACCAAGGTAATGGAATATGTTCTTGGCATAACATGTAACTTTGGGTAATCTTGAATCAAATGACAAATTATCAAGTATTCAAACTATTTTCTTTCCATTTGATTTTGAGTTTCCCATGAATGAAATGCTTTCCTTTCTTTTTGGGTTTGGTATCCCAAGTCCTTCTTTGGCCTTATGTTTGTGAAATCCCAATGTCTCGCATTCTATCGATTTGAATGAACTCTATTAATTAAATATCTTCAAATGAACGAATCTAAGCTTCTTTAAATCAACTTGAGTGAATACATGCTTAGATGTCTTCATGTACTTAACCCATAACCCGAATCTTCCATATGAAGCTTTAGATTTTGATCTTAAGGCATTGAAATGAAATCCAAAGAAAGTAGATTGTTTCACAAGTAAGCCAATCGACCAGATGAAGAGTTTTGCATCATAAGGCATACAAACTCTAATTCGTGAAGAAGGTCCAACTGAATCTTCTTTTCTAGAATAGAATTGTTTCCCGCATAACTAGAGAATCAAACAATTATTTCCTTCTTATTTTCCAAAGATATATCAATTGAAACCCTGGTTATTCATGGATGATATCCCCTGATGATAGCCTTGCATGATAATCACAACTTCACACAGAAACCTCTCTTGAATGGTACACGATTTAGGGAAATAAACTATAATCAATGGATGATGTTGAACACAAGGAGATAAAAAATACCTGATTTAGAAGCCCTTAGATAACCTCGTAGAACAACTTGGAAATGAACATGGGAATACAATAAGAAATATGACCAAGATGGCCACGACTTGATTACAATGAAGAGAATGCCTCAAATGAAAACCAAATCAGAACTGAACACCAAGGATTAGAAACCCTAATTCACACTTGCATCGCCTACCCCCTAAAATCTTGCATCTTAAGGCAAAGTTGATAGGAAAAACACCCTTGAATCCTGATATGCAGATCCCTAATTGGTGAAATAGGGAATATATTATTCCACCGTATCAATGCATAATCAACCTCTATATCCGTGGTTTTCCACGGTCTCTTAGGTACTTGCTCATCATTTTAAAAATTGCTTCTGTGTTTGTGTGTTTTGAAAAGTTTTTTGTTTTACTTCGTTTTAACCCTTGCTTCTGTCTTCAAGAGTGTTATGAAGTGTTTTTGAAAACTTTGTTTGAAAAGTGTGTAAGTGTGGAAAAGTTTATTTTGAGCAAGTACCTACTAGCATCTACCTACTCGAAAAAAGAATGTTTCTGTTCTTGTTTCCTTTAGACAATGCTATCCCACTATTGGTGAGTAGGTAGCACCATCGTTGGAGTTGTAAGGGTCAATTCGAAAGGGACGTACGATCACTAAAGCAATGTTAGGATGTCTTAGTAATAACCCTAATGTCTTAAGATCATATCCGAGGCAACATTTCCGAGGCAATATTTCCGAACGGGACATTTGATCTTTGTTTAGACAAGAGAGCGACCACTAAAACATCCTATACTTAATGATCGTTTACCGAAGGCAACCGAAGTGAGAGTATACCCTAGGAGTGCGCATGTGCGAGTGATTTGATTTCAAGTTATTATCTTTGCATATTTAGGGTTTGCTAACCATTTAAAATTAACATACATTCTTGTCATGCAATCCTATTATCATACATCTAACAGTTAATATTTGTGAAAATTAAAATGCGGAAAATAAAACTATGCTATTACAAGGCTTCGGGGATGGGGATTAATTACATAGCCAAAAACCCGTAAAACGATAAATGAACGAAAAAGTCCTAATTAAACTATTACATCCCATGAGCAGTTACATTAATATTTGCATAAATAAATAAACGCGCGCGATGAAACGAGAATGAGAGAAAACTAGGGTTTTGACCCCGTCTAAACCTAATTAAAAGAAGGAACAAAATTTTGGTTGTTTTTTATTATTTTAAGAAAATAAGGTTTTAAATCAAATAGATACAAACCTAATTACTAATTGAATTAAATTAAGAAAATTAATTAAATTGACCTATTTTTATATTTTTGTTATTTTAAGAAAATAAAATAAAAATTAAATCAAGTAAAACCTAATTTTCTAATTTATTTTAATTTATTTACAAAAAGATTAAAATTACCCTAGAATTAAATTAAACTAATTATTAAATTAATTTTTGATAAAAAATAAAACCTAAATCTAATTTGATGAAAATTGATTTTATTAATTTTTATAAAAAAGAATTAATTTTGATGTAAGAAAATAATTTAAACAAATAAATAAATAAAAGAAAATATAAAAGAAAAGAAAAGAGAATTGGGCCTGGTGTCAAAATAGAAAAGGAGGTGCCCATCTGATTTTTAAGCCCAAAAGCCTTTGTCCATGTTTGACTTTTCTGATTCAATGATGCAAGTTGACCAGGGTGCATCATGGTCCTCCAATGAATGGGCGTGAGATTTGGCCTTCTGGTGATCTAGTGAGTGAACATTGATGGCATATGGTGGGCCTCCTGATGCGTGGAGTACTGGATCTGTAAAGAATAATTGAGAAAAATTGCAAATGTTGGAGGCAGGGGTCGAACCCCTGACCTCATGCCTGCAAGGCCTTAACGCTCTCCCTGGCTACCACTGGGCCACTTGAATTCATTTGTTAGCATATGAAATAATAACAATAAAATGAAAAAAAACAATGCCAGTTATCAAACACGCACTAGAATTCAAACGGGAAAATGGGGTGGTGCCACACAGTCCTTCTTCTTCCTCTCTCCGTTGGTAAAAGTCCCATACTTTTACCTACAGACAAAAGTCTGTAGCTATAGCCCCTGTGATTTCCAAAATCTCATACACGCACCATAAATGAAACCCAATGCTACAGGCCAGTTCGTCTTGGCCTTGTGAACATCATGGTACCTCTCTTTTGGGTCAATTTCACCTGCACAAGAAAACCCTAAAAACAAAACCTAAATGCTAACAATGGTGGATCTCTATATGGTTAGCAAAAATGCAATGAATCATTACCAATAGCTTGCAAATGTTTCACTGAACCAGAATATATAAAGAATTCATGCTACAAATGCCAAAATAATGATATTGGATTTCAAGAAAATGCCAAGGTCGTGAGACACTTACAGTGAGTTTTGGTGCACGAAAACGCTTGTTGGTGATTGGTACAGACTCCCTGAACACCCAGGAAGAGAATGAGATAGCTTGGAAGGCTTGAGATAGCATGGAACTATGAAATCAGATTACCACTTTTTCTTGATTTTTTGAAAGTTGTTCTTCAGTCTACACGCCTCCAATCCTTGTGCTTTCGATCTGAATTTGTTATATATGTAGCCTTGAGTGAATTAGGTTTACAAATTTGCATCCAATCTTTGCAATGATGAAGATTTGATCCTTGATTCACACTTGTATCCAATCTTTCCAAAACAAGAAAAATTCAATCTTTTTGTGTACAAACAAGCCTTTCACGATTTGATTTCATTGCTAGCTGTATAAGAGACCTAAACATGCACAAAATCTCAAGCTTTGATTAGTTTTGATGTTTTTATGATTTTATTTTGATTTAATTGAAATCAAAATCAAAATAAATGACAAAAATAAAATAAAGGCAAGAGGGAAGAATCATGGGTCGTGAACCATGTTACAAACTCAAGACAAGCACAAAATGTTGGGCCCATTTGACAAAAATTGCAATTTGAGGCATATTTGACTTTTGGCAATTTTGCAAAAAAGGTCAACTTCACCAATGCACAACTTCCTCAATTTTGACCCTAGAGATGTGTTCTTGGACTTTTTAGAAAGCTTGAGATGTCCTATAAGTAACCATTTTGGTATAATATCAAATTAGTCTTCCATGTTCATGTATGAAGCTTTTACAAAAAAGGTGTTTTTGTTAACTTTTCAAAATGACCTATAATGTCCAAATTTGTAACTTCTTGTGAGTGCATATTTTGAACTTGGGAGATGAATATGAATTGTAGGTAATTGCATCCTCTTAAAAATGGGCTTTGGAGGGGTCATTTCTAATAAAGTATGAGAAAGTTATGCTTGGTCAAAGTTGAGTTGACTTTTCCTACAAAACCCTAATTTAGCAACTTTTGGGTTTTGATGAATTGTGAGCAATCCTTGAGGAATCATGATCAAACCTTGATCAAATGATGAATAATACTTCAAAATGAGAATTTTGACCAAAAATCTTGAAGTTTGACTGTATGTGGGCCACAGTTGACTTTTGCCCTAACACAGTCGATTTTCAGGCTCTTGAGCAATTGACTAAGCAAACTTTCTCTGTAGGGCTTGAAACTTGACATGGATGATCTTGAGAACATATTAGGACAATGATGAGAATTTGGGATCCCTTGGACTCAAGTATCTTGATGCAACATGAAACCCTAATTTGAGGTAGACTGCCTTAGGAGAGAGTTTGTCTGGTCAACCCTTGGACTTCCTTGAGAAATTTGAGGACCTCACTTGAAATGTATTGAGAAATATGGGAGGACAAATTTTGGGGTACAACAGCTGCCTCTGTTCAATCTTCTTAAACCTGAGGATGTAGATTGGCTTATCTGCCTTTCGTGATCTGAAGGTTGAAGATGATTGAACACTAGAGTGCCCAGAAATTTGCACTTGCATGAAGTGGTACTTGTCTTGCGATATCGAGAATGGGCTTATAGATGCCATTTGGAGATTGATGACAGAAGATGGGCTTAAATATGCCATCTGAAAGAGTGTCGATCGCCTAAGAGATTCCTTAGCGAGAGCCCATATACCTGTTGTTGAGGAAGATTTCACTGGGGAATGTTGTTCTCTGTCTTGAGAAAAGTTGAATTTTAGGAGCTTCAGTCGTCCGTTATTCTACTGGGGAATCGTCTCTTGGTCGAAGAGGTGAAACTGAACTACCATCTGTTCGTGATCCAGGCTTCATAGTGATAAGATCGACCGCTATCTAGTTGTGCTCCAGGTTTTACAATGACTTACTGGGGAGATGAGATTAAACTTGCTATTCGGTCGTTCTCCAGGCTTCGTAATTTCTCAATTCTTATCTGGTCGTAATCCAGG